TTTTTTTTTTATTTTTAAATTTACAACAAAATTTTTTTTAATTTTCGAAAATCATAAACAATTATATCGGTTACGAGGATTTTTTAATTTTTTTATTTTTTATCTTTTTGTAAAGAAAAAACTAATTTTTTTTTTCTTAATAGTCTTATGAATGTGGACTTGGCGCGATTTTTTTACAGTGAAACTTTTTTTGTTCGGATTTTAGTATTTTTTTTAATTATAATAAAAATTTACAATTGATACCAACTTAAATCTCGCGTTGGGTGCATTTTTTTTATAGCAAACTATTCCCTTGAGGCTACAGTTTATGTAAAAATAATTCCAGTGCACCCTGGCGGGTGTATATGCAAGCTGTGAAATATCTTTTTTTTAACTGTAGTTTCCCATCTGATGAAGGATTACTATGCATTCTCGAATATTTTAGTCTGTGGCAGATCACTTTGCCCATCGAAAAAAAGTCAGGATCGAAATTTTTGCGTTGCTATAGTTTGTGCTGATTAAATTTAGTAATTTCAAGTAGATTAATTGTTATAAGTGAATATAATTAATTAATAACAGTAAAATAAAGTATGAATTACTGTTATAATATACAATTTAGGAAAAAAAAGTACCGTAGAATTAAATCAAATTTTGCAACCTCAAAATACCGTTCTGCTTACAGTAAACACAGTCGGTAGTCTGGCGCTCCGTTGACAACGGATTTGAACGGAACTTGGCGCCAGATTCTACCGAATCTGTGGATAATAAATACAAAACTATCCAGAATTTGGATTATGGAATTTTTCAAATTCCAGTGAGTATATGAGCATCGTGTACAAATTATAAGAATAAAGTAATTCTTTTTTTATTAAATATTCTTATCAGAGTTTGTGATCTTCTAAACATTGATTCATTTTTATCTGAATTTTAAAAAAATGCATAATTGTTTTTTTTTTTTTTTTTTTTCCGTTCATTTATTTAGAGCAAAATTTAGGCGTTTATTTTTATACTGTAATAGGTTCTTAAAAAAAATCGCCGTCTTCCGTATATACTTACCTTTGGCTTATACTACTATCTTTATATATGTATATATGTACGATAAGCGGCTCAAAGTTGTGATGCTTTGGTTCGTGTTTGTATACCGAATTAAATTAGAGATTTCAAGAGTTTTAGGTGGTATGTACTTATGTAAGTTATTTACTTATCCTCTAAATTAAATAAATATGACTGCTTATATATGTATGTTTATTGCGAAAATTTTGTTTATTGAAATCTAATGTTCGTCGAATATTACACTATGAAAAGATTCATAAAATCTAGGTCAGAAGAAGGATATACAACACTGAGCAATCACAATGCGATCTTTCCCTATGACAAAAAATCACAAAACCTCGAAAGTGTGGTTTTATTATGATGAAAAAGTCATGTGTGATAAATTCTACACTTACATGCAATAATTGTACGATGAATCAGAACAAGTGGGATAACTCCTTTCTTCCATTGTCCATTTTTATGTTCACTATCTATTTTTAGAGGCATAAAGTGACTTTAAACTACAAATCCGGGGAAAACTTTATTTTATATTCGTTACGTAATGAAGTATATATCTCAATCCGCGATCAAGTGGGAGTGTTCAACTGTCGAAGTAAATATACACATCGTCTTTATATATATATATAGATTATAAGATGATTTTTTATGATAGATTTGTAATCTAATAGATTATTAAAAGGGGATTTTGACACGTGATATAAGCCTTTGTCTGATTTATGTCACGAAAATGCAATCATATAGGCTTATAAGCCAAACATCAATAAATTTTTTAAAACATTCTTATACATTTAAACTTGTGATATCGTTTAGTAACTTGTAATTCAAAAAATAATATACATAATACAAGCTTATATCAATTATTATCTTGCACAAAGGGACACCTAGGATTCTTGCTTTGTTGCACTTAGTAATTTCCTTTTCAGAAAATTTCCTCAGAGTATATACATATCCATATATATATATATATACATGTCGGAAAAGCATTAATAGGGGCGTTAGTACAGTCCGTTGGATTCGTTTATTCAGTTATTTATTAATTTAGAATAATTAAACTATAACACTGATCTAAATTTTGAAATATAATGTACGCTAACTTGTATAAACAATACTACGATTAATTATCCAAATATAATTAATATACAAGGTAAAAGCGCTGAGGAATAAGACCGAGAACGAATCTGAGGTCAGCAGGATATATGCGATCTTTACTTGATCAATGCTCAACGAGAATTAACTGTCTAAGTACCCTAAGTACTTCTCTCTAAAATATTTCGACAGCCCTCATTGTCTGTCGATATCTTTAACTGTATACTTTTTACTTCTATCCTGTGACCTCGGCTACGTTTGGTGACCATTGTCACTCCGGACTCAAGCCTATCGCCATAACCATAAAAATTATAATCGGCTTAAGTTATAAATAATTATTAAATATTCTATGCTTTACAATTTTGCTTAAAACTAATAGACAAACTGAAATATTGGGAATTTCCTATCTCTGGGAAAACCCAGCTCGATATTATCTCCGACATACATATATGAAGATGTCAAATCCCTTTAGTTTTGCATTTGAACTGTTCAATAGTTGTCGCAGCGTCTTGATCTGAGCTGTATAGATCTGTGATCCCAATTGACGTCTCAAGCTGCTCTTGTCTCTCTGTTCCTCAACATTACCTATTCACTCTCTTGTACACACCAGACATTAAACCCTCCTTCATTCAGTTTGTGCTCCTCACGTATGTCATTCTCGTGTCATTAGCATAGCTAAATCTATGATCTGGGGATTCCGTAACCACATTGAGGAGTATACACTTGACGATTTCACAATCAACATTTCATCCTTCCATTATTATCTTGTTTAATGATTGCATTCATCTTGTCAGATACATGTGCAGATATAGATATGGAAATAACGAGATAATTTTATTATTATAAATTCTAAGTAAAATTTGCATTGTTCTGTTTTTACATACAGGTGCCATGCGCCTTTATAGAATGTATTATTAGAATTAAAATATTTTATGTATTGTTTAATTATGTTACAAGATATACTAAGTAAAAAAATTTTCGTCAAATTCAACACAAAAATTTGTGTTAATGACTTTTTAACTTCCCGCTAAGAAAATTGAAAATTATAAAAAGTTGGAAAGTTATTGGTTTTACCCCGTTTTTCGAAAATCGAATTTCAAACGAATGTTGACGTTTTGAGGTCCTAGTAAGCTTCCCTGAATGTTTCCGCGATGATGTCTGGCTGTATGTATGGATATATGTACGTACGTGTGTGTGTGTGTGTTTGTTTGTTTGTGTGTGTGTCCGTATGTAAACTGCTTATAACTTTTGAACGGCTTGACCGATTGAAACTAAAATAGCGGCGTTTTAAAGAGTTTCATCAAACTTAGATTCGAAATGATTTGGACCGGTAGATTCCGAGAAATACCAAAAAAATTTTTAAAACTTTTTTTTTCAAATGTGGGTTTTTTAGAATAACTTTTAAACGGCTTTACCGATCGATTCCAAAAACTAATCAACTCTTAACATCAAAAAACCACGTCGATCGCCGCCGGTCCGCTCAAAATTGGTTGATTTGTTCGTGAGATATTGTTGTCGAAAAAATTCAGAAAAAGTGAATTTTTCAAATTTCTCCAAAGTTTTCGGTTTGATCAATTTGTGTTGAATAGTAAATCATAGGATTTGAAAAACTGCGTCGAATGCTGTCAACCGCATGAAAATCGGTTTATTCAATCAAAAGTAATTGCAGTTTGAAAATTTAATGAATCATGTTTAATTAAACCTCTATCAAACTTTTGAGATCTACATTAAAATTTTTACACTTTACAAAATGATAAAAATTTTTTTCTGCATACTAGAGAATAAATAGCGAGAAATGAAGCTATCTATTAACGTAGTGTTAAAAAATAAATTGTTTATGATAGCATAAGGATGCTGACGTGTCTTGGTCTCGGTTTCTCGAGTCTCATCGGCGCCCTGAAAATGGTGAAGGGAAAATTCACCCCTATTTCCATGGTAACCGCCATATTCAATGTGCTTGTTTCCCCTACGCTTTCTTCGATTTTGTAGACTATTACTTGTGGTTCTTAACCTTTAATGTGTTCTCTCATATTTTTATGTAAGGGTCTATACATCCATTCGTTAAATAGATATCCAATCAGATTACGCATTAAACCTCTGAAAGCTTAGCCTGTTTCATGATTGATATGAAAACAGTTGGGACGATCAAGGATTGTACATTTAAAACACTCAATTCTTAGTCGAAATGTCAATTTAAATCTCTCAAGCAAATTATTTTTCAATCCAATTATACAAATAAATCATTCAGTCAGCAAACTATTCTCAATTAAAACAATTGTATCTAAGGTCTCGCGTTCGAGTTCAAAATTAATTCTGTGTAAAACAGAAAGATAGTTTCACGGTATATATATAGAGTAGAGTGCATTTAAATAGACACACACATATATACTGATACAGGAATCGATTTCTCATAAATCTTTTTGAGCTTAGTGAACAGAGTATACTATAGTTCATTTTGCTTAAATTTGAGACTATGTAATTTTATATCCGAAATTCTTACCATTGCTCTTTTATCAGTTTATTTTTTATTAATATAATTATAGGAGAAATGTATGCTCTGTCAAGACATGTACCGAGAGATAGTAATTTAATTAAGTTTATATTTAAGCGATATTCTCCTCGTTAACTACAAAGAGCACCGAAAATAACCAGGTACTAAAATTAGAGTTATCTACTGTACTTTTGACTTATTCAGTGTAATCGAACAAGAAAGATTCCAACATTGATGTTTGATAGTTCCATTCTGTAAAAATTTAGAACATGGATAAAAAATAAGCTGTATTTAGTCATTGAATGCATTCGAGTAAAAATAGCGACAATCAAATTAAATATTATCAATGATTCCCGATTGTTTTAAATTGAAATTTAAATTTAGCTCTATAGATATCAATAAAATACAAAGTACATATTGAATAAATATATTTTAAACTATCACATCAAAATTTTAGTATTTTCCATTGAAAAAATAATGTTACAAGTTGATAAATATTAAAAAATTTTTTTTATAAATCGTATATCTTCTAGGAAATATCTATTTGTAACTTTAAAATTCTAGGTATACTTATACAAGAGTTTTCTTGAATTTATGCAATAAAATTTGTCCTGACAAATTTTTCCATCTGTCTACATTGGATAATTCACACGTCCTGAACTTTGCACACTCTCAACTATACTATATTTTACCATTCGATTTTCTATTCTTTTCTTACGGCCAATTCGGAAGTTATCTTTTTTTCTTCTCAACTCTCCTTGCTCTTCCTTATATATTTAATTTTATTCTTACAGAAATTTATCTTTCTTTGTTCGTACATCAAATCTTTTATGCTCACAAAACTTTCTTGCACGGAAATTAATTTATTTTATAATTATAATTTTTCATTATGACTTAATCTTTAAAAACTTTACCTCATATCATTACATCATCAGTAGATTAAAATAATAAAAATTTACGTACCAAAGTATTATTACCTTTATTTTGTAGTATTTTTTATAATCTGGGAATCTTTATTTTGATAAAAGTTTACTTTTGTTATTAAGGGGGTATTCTGGTCTAGAAATTTGAAAAATTCGAATTATTTTTTTTTGCATATTTGCAAAGTTTAGACCCTTAAAAATATGTCCTTGAGTGGATTTTTAAAAATCCGAATTATTTTCGGAGATACCGTGGATTTTGTGACGCAGCTGCTTCTGCTTCTGCTTCTTCAATAGAAGGCAGAACAGCTCGATTAGCAGAATTTTTTTTTATATTCTAGAAATGTCAATAAACATCATATAAAAAAACGGATTATAAAAATGTTTTTCATTTTTTTTTATGTTAGTTTGAAAAATGCCTAAAATTTAGGCTTCTAGACCAGAATACCCCCTTAACAGTACATTTTAAACTTAAAATATGTATAAAACTTTACAGCTTTTCTACTAAACAGCTTATGTTAAACCAATAATTGAGATTTTCACGTGTTTGGGATTAATTAGATTTTTATTATTAAAATATTAAATATGTACTTTAATTTCAATTAAATTTTCAATTCTATGAAACTTAATACAAACAATATATTCTAATTAATTGTTGCGAAAACTTGGTACTCTACTTAAACTTTTCACTACCTTCCTATTGTTTCCAAAGTGCCAAAGTCAAATGGAAATAAGTTAACAATTTTTCAATTAGCTATAAAATTTTTTAATAATTACAATTTTTTTTTGTTCAATAATTCAATGAAAAATAATTAACCTGTCCACCATTAATTGTTTAACAGCTTATAATTAATTTATAAATTGTTAAATTAGGAAACATTTATTATATTGAAGGCTAATTATTATTTTTTTCCAGTAATTACCTTCAAAGAGTTATGTTACTTCTTTATTTTATTGCCTATAGTCTATGGCCTCATGAATTTAGAAGATAACTTTAATTTTAATTTACAGGTGAATTATGCCGACCATTAAATTGCAAAAAAAAAGAATTGTGTCTTTTGGAAGATACATTTACTGCTGTCTGTGTTTCGAAGAAAGAACTCCATAAATCTGGGTAACTATCAATACACTTTATTGACTTAAAAATCTTTAAAAATTATCTTTTATGTTATTCTATAAATTTTTTAATCAAAGTTTTTTTTTTATAAGTTTAAAAATTAATTAAAGCACGACAATATAATATTTTCAAGTAATGAACATAAGAATAGTTACATACTAACTATTACAATAATTAATGAGTGCTTAAGCTTTAAATCTGGTAATGAACCGCGAAAATGTTGGTATAAATGTACCACATCATAGAATCATCTCTGTAAGCCTCGAGAGCATTTAACTGGATTAATGTATATCTTTCTCCAATTCAAATAGAGTTTGAATTATTTGACTAATTTTAATTTAAATAACTACTCTCTGTTTATTCAGCAATCCAATTGTATGTATTTTCCTTATTTTCCAGTGACATTGTAATTCCTAAATCTCGAGCTATGCAACAGAGAAGGATGCGAACAGATACTTCAGTAGACAGTGAAGATGACGACGCTTTCTTTGATTCTGAAGATGATGAAGATGAAGATCAAGATGAAACTAAGTAAGTACCATTGACAAATACAAAATAAAATTAAAAGAAACTAATTTTAAATTGCGTTATTTGCTCACCTTCTTTTGTTTAAAAAAAAAAATAACTAGTGAGTTGACCTAAAACTGTCTTAACCCAAGGCGACACGTAAAATGCAAGTGCTACATCTTGTTATCGACCCAAATGTACCTTTCTTTATATTGTGTTTTGAGTTTTTTCACAAGCTCCAAGTAGTATTTGAGAAACAAAGAATGGCTTGTTTTAGTTCAGCACAATTTTTTTCAAATTACTGAAAAGACAATTGTCGACATTTTCAATTTACCATTCACTAAAACAATATATGTAGAATAAACTTTCAAGATTTTTTAAAAAGATCTATTTTTATCAGCGTGCAATGCACACCTTGAACGCCAAAAAACCTCGGATTTTTTTTACTCCTAAAAAAATTTCATGACGTTATGCACTTATATTAAATTACTAAACTATAATAAATAATTGATTTATAATAAATGCTATCAAAATAATAATAACAAATACCATTTCAAATAGTAATAAAAGCTATGTAAGTGTCTAAAATTTTTAAGCACAGTAATTAATAATTTCAACTTCAGTGTTCATCATTTTGCACGTTAAAGATTATGATATGTAAAACATATCAAGAAAGTTTATTTAATTTCTATAGTAGAAGAGTTTAAAATTAAATGTTGCCAACGTTAATATTTACTACGTAAAATAGTAAATTTTAACCTTAACGATTTTAGCCAAACTATAAATATTGACTTAGGGCCAGTTTTTCAACCCCGGATTTAAGTATTTTACCATTGTGAATATATATATAGATATATTCACAATGATAAAATACTTAAACCCGGGATTGAAAAACTGGCCCTTAGTACTTTTTACTGTTTGAAACTATAATTTTTAACAAGTGATAATCTGATATTCGACTATAGTAAACGTTATAAGACACTTTTTTCAATATTAAATTATAAATTTTGGCTTTTACATTTTTAATATTATGCTTTGTAATATTTAATGTTACGCTGAGTAAATTTTATAATTTAGTTTTTTCCATGTAAATATTAATAAAATATAAAGTATTAGAAAAAATAATAAAATATGTTGTAGAATGTTATTTTTAGTGAGAAATTATCAATTTTCGAGATTTTTGATTGATTAATCTCCTTTAATTTAGTTAAAACTCTTTTAATAGCGTTAAAAAAAAGTATCTTACAAACACAGATATATTTAAAACAATTGATAAAGATATAAAAGTTAATAATTAAGCTTATCAGCCATTACAAAGTAAATGAATAAAAATCCTTATTAAAAAATGATATCTCATATACTTTACACGCCTCTAGCGTGAACGCCAGAGAGTTTTTAGCTATTTTACTTTGCTAAATTAATACGAATTTACTTAGTATAATTAATATCCTTGAATTAGGTTAAGCCTTTTATACCGCTTAGTAAAGGAGCATAAAAAGACAGATAAAAAAATTTAAGACAGTCTGTAATGTTGTATATGTACTACTATACATATTACATAGTAAATACGCACAAGTAAAAAGATTACTTTAGAGGCAGTAAAATGTCATGGTTTTATTCAGGCTGTGACCACAATTTTTAAAGAAACGAAACGAAAGGAGTAAGAATAACGGTTAAAGGCGCGTGAGTATATAGTAAGCTTACTCGGCAATAAAAGAGGCGACTACCCTCCTACATTATAGAAGCGAAAGAACAGTAATAGTACGACAGGTAAACTATACTGGCGCATGTATGACTAAAAGACAGAAGAAACTTATTCTTCTACTTCTTCTTCATCTCATCTTACTTTACTTTTTTATGAATCTCTTGCTTGGTCTCTTTGTTCGCTCTATTGTTGAACAGACTCAAGAAAAGCTGTTTACCCAAAATGTAAAGATGCATTCATGTATTACTTACGATTCTTAATTTAAACTACTTACAATTTTCTTTGTCATTATTTAAGTAATTTTTAAAATTTTTATTTCTTTCTAAAACTTCAATAAATTAAATAGTTTTGTTCATTAAAAAAATTATATTTTTTCTTAACTTTGAGTTGCAAACAATTTGTAGCTAATTTTAGCTTTTTGGAAAGACATTAGAGACATTTTATTTTTTTTTTTTTTTCATCATAATCCATTACATAAAGAAATTAGACGCTAAAATAAGTATAAAAGTAAATACAAATGTTTCTTGTGCTGCAATCCTTGACTTTTTTTTATTTAAATAGTTTCCGAAATGATTTTTATGATAATGCTATTTTAAGTACTCATTGTTATTCTTTAGATCTTTATTTTTCTATGCTCTTATATAATATTTAAAAATTTCCTTTGATAAGTATCTGTGGTAGAAAAAAAGTTTTTGTCTTTTGAATAAATAACAGTTTTTGTAACACCATTCTATCATTTTTTAATTGGGTTATTTCTATTTTGTACAAGTGAACGAGCATTTTTATTATAGCTTTTTTTCCTTTATCAAAAATCAGAATACATGTTTTTTAAAAGAAAAACATAATTGAAAAACATGAAATTTTTGTATGAATGCTGTTGGAAATATAACATATAAGTATTTCACATTCATGGAATTCTATCAACTCGGGCGAATCAAAATGTTTTAGTCATTGAAATCCTATACATGTCTTTATGAATAGTCGAATACATAAAGCATAAATATTAGTCTTGCAGAGAAAAATTCGTATTAAAAACATTCATATTGTAAATATTTTTTATACTGAAAATAAAGATTAGTGTAACAAAAAATAGTTTTGTTTCTTTTGTTTTCTTATAATGGCAAATTTTACATTCTCATCGAGATGTATAGATATTATTAAAGTATATGAGTTTCTAAAAAACAAAAAAAAAAATGGAAATTTTTCAGAATTGGAAATCTTAAAAATACATATATGGCCAATAAATTTTTCAATTTAATTCCATTTAACAGCAAAAAAGTTCAGTTTAAAAATTTAAATTACCAAATATCGGAACAAAAAAATCATTTGAGTCATCGAATTTGTATAACTTGAATTATTTTTATAGATGTAATTCAGCTTATAAAAATTATATATTATATGATTATTCACTGAAGTACAGTGAACTTCTAAAGAAGTTATTTTCTTTCACCTTTCAATTCTTCCGTCACTTGCTTACAGGAAATAAAAAAAATAAAACTCCGTAACTTCTTTGAGTGTATACAATAATAAATATAAACTAAAAAATTCAATATAAATAAGAAAATATTACTAACTCGATATAAAACTTTATACTGGAAAATTTACAATTTTCTTTGGCGTAAATTTGACAAAAATAAAATTTTATAGAAATTAAAATTCGATTTTAAATAAAGTTGAAAGGATTGAGACCTGCGGTGAGTTAATTAAATAAATGAGAAGTAAAACTGTAGTAGATTACTTGTAAATTCACTAACTAAGCAAATGAAAAATTTATTTTTTTATAAATATTAAATACTAGCATTCCGCTCCGACTTCGCACAGGTATTAAACATAAATTTCAAAATTAATTATAATATAATATAGCCTGTCACGCGGAGATAGTGTATAGCTTCCCAACAGTGAAAGAATTTTTCAAATCGGTTCAATGGTTTCGGAGCCTTTTCAATGCAAACAAACAAACAATCAAATCTTTCCTCTTTATATAATATTAGTATAGATAACAAAATACTTCGACAATTTTTTTCAAATTTATCGTTATTATTAAAAATTATTGTGCCTTATTCAATTTATTTTATTTGTAGTGAAAAGTGTTTTTATTTGATTACTTTATTAGTAAAGAAAATACATTGGCTGATTTTAATACTCTCAATTTCATAAATCATATTATTAAATATATCTCAGAAATTTTTGAAACAGCTCGATAGCAGAGTAGATTTTAGCATCGGAAGTAAACGGCTTTTACAAATACATTTTTTTTTATCACATTACAGTTCTATCAAGTTATAATAATTATAAGATTTATCAAAAATTTTCAAAGAGGGTATTAATTGAGATAATTATAGAAGAAATAAAATTAAAAAAATGTTTCTTCTATTTTCATATGCATCAAATCATAATTAAGCTCCATTAAATTAAGTGAAATAAACTTATTGATTTAGCTTAAAGTTGTTTTTCACTCAACAGCTGATGAAAATTCAAAATAAATAATTTTTGTTATAATAATATACAAGTAATTTTATAAAATGTCATTATTCAGTACTTTAACCATAAATGTCATTTATTTATTATTATTCTGAATTCATAATAATTTAAAAATAAACTAGTTATTTAATTATCGTTCATTAATTTCTCTTAAAATAAACGGTAACAATGAAATAATCCTTTCAGTTGCCTCCTTAATAATAATTACGTAGAAGCTACGTCTCGAGAATCAATTATATTATAATATTAAAATAATTACCCATTTTCAGATGTCAAGAGTGCCCAGTAGTGAAACCAAACTTCCTCTGTGGAATTGACAACCGCACATACAGTTCCCCTTGTCGTCTCGAGTACCACAACTGTATTCATCATACTTCAGTCCACATCGCGTGCAAAGGATTCTGCCCATGCAAAGGTAACGAACGTGCTACTCCGTTAATAGATATGTCACTTCTTCTTCTATTATTTTATCAGTACCTGTGAAATTAATTTTTTATACAATGAAAATCTTACTGAAACTTTTTAAATATTATAAATTACAACATCCGCAAAAACATATTAATAAATAAAAAAAGTTAATCAAATAAACATAAGTTACATTTAAATAATATTGAATAAAATTTAAAAGAGAAATGTTGTACGAATAAAAATTTTATTGAATTTTACACAAATGACAATGGCATGTGTACATAAGTTATATAACACACTCGCCGAATAATCGATTCCAAATATATACGAGAAATTTTTTATTATTAAAAAGCATTTAAATTTTGCGAGCATCCACGCATGAATGTTCATACTACCACCCGGTGACACAACAATTTCTGCTGGGAGTTATCACACTAATTGAATTTGCTCCGTTGAAACAAATGTTCACGCAGAATTGTTCCATCGCTGATCATGTCCATACGCAATTTGTACCTTTTAGCATTTTAGTTTTTCAAATATTATTCACTAAATTTATTTTACTCTACTAAATAACGGATTTCACTATATATATTTCAATTAAAATTATTATTTTTATTGCAGGAGGATCAGATCTTAAAGTACACACAAAAAAAATTCCCCCTACTAAACTTCAAAAGAATATTTTGGGAAAAACTGGTCGGAATCGCGATATTACCCTTACTCCACGAGATTTCAACTATGACAATCATCATTATCAATATCTTAAGTACAGCAAACGTCCAAAGGTATAATAATATAAAATATTTTTAAGCGTAATATATGTTTTTCTGTCTCATTAATAATTAAGGGAGTATTCTACTTTTTAGGCTAAAAACTTACAAAATTTTTCGTGTATTTTTTATCAGAGACTGGTTTTATACTTCGTTAAGTGTAAAAATATTTTATTAAACAGCTTAGACTTCAGAAGTTATCTAAAAATCATCAAAATAGTTCCAATAGCGAAAAAATAGTTTTACCAATCCTGAATTTTTACGACCGAGGCAACTGTTTGGCAGAATGAGACTCAAGCTATATCTTGAGGTATTTGTTAAAGCTCTAAATCTAGCCGAACGTAGAGATGTTCGGTTTGATAGTTCAAACATTGTACGTTGTCTTTTATAGAGATATAAATCGATTCACCGCCAATAATCCTGGTTGTACTAATTCTTTAACTTTAGTAGGCAGCTTTGATGGACAAAATAAATGACTTGAGCTTCATTAAAACTGTAAAGTGTGTTTTCACATCAATCAAATATTACAATTTGATATTTAGGGCCAGTTTTTCAATCCGAGATAAAATTTTATCCAGGATAAAATTATTATTGCCAGTATATTTATATATATATAGATATATTTCATCATTGGATAAAATTTTATCCTGGATTTAAAAATTGGCCTTTAAAATATTAATCAAAACTTTCGACAAAGTTTTAATTATAATCTGAACAAAATTTTTTATTAAATTCTGCAAAAATTCGATTGTTTATCATAAATCGGTTCTTATCATGGCCACACCCTAGTGAACACAAATATATCTTGCTGCTACTGAAAAGCCATATACTTTCAATTCTTGTTGTATTTATTGAAATTTGCCTAGCTTTATTTGGTAAGAAAAGATATAATCTTATAACTTATAACTTTCCAATCTGAATTCAAACAAATTACCATTTCTAATCTTTTTAATTGTTGATACTCAAATTCAGTCATGCAAATTATAATACAGAGAAACTTTTGCTATTTAGTCCTATTCATTTATTACGAATATCGTTATTATAACTTTATTATCTTCCATCAAATTTTGATAAAATCTTTTTTTTTTTTTTTTTTTATACTCGGATATTTTACTGTGCAAAAGTAAAATTTTAATTGAACTCATTTTAACTTCAATCTATTCGAAGTTTCACAAAATTATTACATTTATTCTCTCCGTTTGTTTCAATTTGGAATAAAATAAATCCGGAAGGTATTAAAAAACCATATTGGTAAAAAAAATTCAATTTTTTTTTAGTTATCGGAACTATTATCCTACATAAATAATACAAGCGCATAGATATACCTGATATACGAACTTCCGTTCAATAATATCCATCCTCGAATAAACCAGGCAGCAAGTAAAGTATCATGACAAAGTTAAATACCGAAAGTATCGAACAGTTAATTTTAGGAAAGAAAAAAAGGGTTTTCATTAATGGCTTTTTTAAAATAAACATCAATTTATTTTTTCCGGCTTTTTCTATTATCAATATTTTTTAGCACATTTAAATTATCTTATTCAATTTATTTGCATAAATTATACAACTTTTAATAGAATAATTGGAGAGTTTATTTTAAAACTTTTTTCATTTTTATTTCTCGATTATCACATCTCGCTTTTTGTTCCATTATATCATTCTTTTCAGCAAGATAGTTATTTAAAAGTGGATTATATATGCATATATACATACATACTTACTACTTTCTTTATAATAACCTGAAAAATAACTTTTAGAATGAAAAACTTAAAGCCACGCACTGTATTTTGTTATTTGACACTTTTATAACTCAGCTTGAATATTGATCTTGTGAAGCTAAACTTCATAAATGATTTAATGTTTTCAATATTTCAATATTCCGCTTGTTTAAATATTCAAGCCACTTTCAATTTCTTGATATCCGAATGATTTATTAACCTTTTCTATTTTTTAAGCTGGATATCTTGAGTAAAATATTGAGCTTTCTTTTATCTAAATTTAAATCAAGCGAATCTCAACCTAACAAAGCTAAAAGATATATTAAACCCACGGAAGTGCGAGAATGATTAAATGGATCATTAATGAAAGCTTATAATAAAAGATGAAATACAATTTAATATTTTATCAGACTAGAAATAATCTTATAGATTATTTTTTGAGACTATAATATTTCAAAAAATATCAAAATACTTATTTATGATTAAGATTTTTTTATTTTGTAGTATAATAAGTCATTTCAGTTCGATTTATACTTTATTTTACTCCAATGCAGCTAAAGGACATCCGTAAGAATAACAAAGAAGAGATTTATCCCGAAATACCAAGCAAAGCTAAATTTATAAACTAAAAAAAAAAAAAAAAAAAAAAAAACATTTTCAAGTTCTCTACAGCATTAAAGCTAGGCCGTAGTAAATGTATTTTGTGAAATTTTATTTTTCTAATTACTTTTTGAAAAAAATTTTTAATGATAATGACTTATAATAAAGGTTCCGCAATAGCTAGTACTAACATTTTGGGGAAAAATCTGTGTGAAATTAACTCAATATTATCAAGATAAATTCTTTAATGATATTAACCAATAGCTTGAAATCAATTACTCAGTGTGTTTAATAACTAATTCACTAAAAAAAAAATAATTTTAATCAAGAGAAAAATCCTTGAATCAAGTAAAATTTACTTAAACCAAGAGAAATTTCTTAATTTAAGAATTTTTCTGCTCAAATCAAGAAGATGAAGTTTTTAAAATTATTTACTGAATTCGAGTAATTTTTTTTTCCGTGTGTGAAATAATTTTATTGTTATTGACCTTAAAAATACGATATTTTTTTTTTAATTTGTTTATTATTATTATTATTATTATTTAAGTTTCTCTTAATTTGAGATCCTTTTTTTATCTATGTTGGAGTAACTAGTCTTCGTTTGTTATAAAATAAAGCCAAAATATGTATTGTATGATAATTTATTAACTTATCTATTCACGGATTAAATGGCTTAACTTGATACAGCTAAAAGCGTATAGTGTTCAAAAAATGATTTATACAATGCAGAAGAAAAACAATATTTTAAAAGCTTTATCTCGAAAGTTTACCGACATTTCTTTTCCGAAATTCTTTTTGAAGAAAGATTGCATTTACGGTACGTCCTAATACACATAAAGAGCTTTCGTCCCATAAAAAAGTAGATGGATGTCAGTATAGAAGCCATCTGTACAAAAAAAAACTAGAGTGAACAAATTCAGAATGTCCTTTTTCGAAATCGACGATTTAATATAGCAGTAAAAAAATTATTTTAGTAGTAAAAAAAAAATTAAAAAAAGAATAAGTGAATGAAAGTTAATAAAAGATTTGTAAGTTATTATAGATCAAATACAAGAGCATCAGAATGAATTAAAAAATGTACAAAGCTGCCTGAAAATGACGTATTAAATAAGTTAATCCTTTTGTTCTTGTTTCAAGAACTGTGAATATCCTTCTATAATTACGTGAAATGTTTTATGGCTGAAGAAATTTAAAGTGGAAAGTTAGATATGCTTTATATCATTCATGGAAGCTTTACAATTTTATATAACATTAAAAATATTTAATTATTCATACTTTATACTATGTTATTATCATCCTGATCACAGTGATATAAAGTATAACTATAATAATATTTTTACTCAGAATTCTTTGATGCGTAAACTCTTTTTTATTTAAAAAAAGAAAAAAAAATTCAAATAATTAGCAACTTAATTTTAGTGAGAAATCCTAAAAAATGTTGAAACATTATAAGTATATAAATAAAATTCTTTTCACACTTGAACTCAAGAATGAGGTCAACCGAAAAATAAAACTGAAATGTACTTAAGCTTATTTCGCCATAAAAAAATCTATACTACCTAGAAATCTCGGTATGAATTTTATTAAGTATAAGTATACTGTTAACAATGTAACAAAAGTACTGAAAAATAATATTTTGCCAACATAATTTCAGGGATTGGGAATCAACAGCAAGTACGAAGATGACATAAAGCATTCAATGAGTAATGAAATAAGTAAAAATCCATCAACCTTGAAGCCTACTTTCGATTCCCCTGAAGCCAAGTTCAATCGATTACGAAACACAGATTGTCCACCCTCCTCTAGACCAGCAATGGCTAATCGATTGTTGGACTGGTTCTCAGTGGTAATGGCTGATGCTAAATACCGTCGTCAACACTCTAAGTCTAAGGGTAACATATTATTAAACTCTAAGTCTGTAACTAATAGTTGATAGTTTTTGACAGAAGCACACACTTTACCCAAAATCCTTACCGTTATAGTTGAATCGAAGTAATTAAATGGCTACTAGAAGAGCCTTAGTCTCCCTGTACCGATTCCAATGAAAGTAATATAACTTAGTCTTAGGAAATGAAGAGATTACTTGAATAATTCCGGGCTTCTACTTATATATAGGTCATTTCCCCATCGGATGCCAGCCAGAAGTCAGATGGATGTTTGGACATTTAGATAATGATGAAGATCGTCGTATCTCCTTGGCAGAGCTGTACAGCCTTGAGCATGACCAAAATGAGCCATGTCTTAAGCCCTTCCTTGACGCATGTGATACTGATGGGTCAGTTCGATAATAATCATAATTATTATTATTAGTATAATGATGACAAAATTAGCGTAAATCCATTAGTTTGTTTTAATTTTCAAAATTTTAATAGTCACTTATTAAATTGATTATTACAAATGAATAAAACATTCCTTCTAATGCTTCATGTTTTACTATCTTTCTGCTTTGTTTGAAAATTAGATCAACTAATGGTTTTGTCACGAACTTCTATAAATGACCCTTTTAGTTTTTTTTTTTTTTTTTTTTATTTTAAAATCAATTTTTTATCAATTTATGTATAGGCACATTGTTATTTTTGTAAAATCTCGTTATGAAATTTTTTTTTTTTTTTTTTTACGCTCGAGAGTCAACTTCAAAGGATTTTTTATTCAATTTAATTCATTGATAAAAGCTTAAGACATATGATGAAGAGTTTTTTTTAAAAAACAATAATGGACTATTCATTTTTTTCAAAATATTATTTTATTTTATTTTATTTTATGAGAAACTATGGTCTTATAAATTGATTTGATATCGACATTCTTTTAAAATCGCAGTTCCAGCTATTTAAGACCATGTAAAAAGTTGAAACAAGAGTTTTGTTAAATTACTTATCAATCTGTACTACTCTATTTGACAGTTGCATTTAAGAGTATAATTATGATTTAGAAGACTTCAATTTGTAATAACTGTGGGTCTTTGAAATTGTTTCTATAAAACTGATTTATATAAATTTTTAATATACTCAGGAGATTTTACAAGTATTGAAAAGTTAAAACAAATTGATTCGCTATTTTAAGTTATTAAACTTCAATATCGAAAGAGAAAATAATATTCGAATCGAATACTCCACGCTCTCTATTTATAAATATTGAGTATCAGTAAAAGCAAATATAACTGAACTATAACTCCGATATATTAAAGTAGTTAAAAATAAATTTCACCTAAAAACTTCAACAATACAATTGCAAAACATATAAAATTTAAAATTTATTTGTTTAATTTTGATCTTTTTTCGTTTACATTTATCATTTGTTTTCATAATAATACATGCATACATAAATTTGATATAATGACTTCGATAAAATAAATATGATGTCAGTATCAACATTATGTTTTTGCTGCTGTCTAGATCTAAATTCAATTTATCATTTATGTTAATTTATTATTATTATTTTTTGGTTTATGTACATAGCCATTGTACCTCGCTTATTTTTATTTCGGCTATATTGTCATCGGGTGATTTATTACCTGCCGATTTATTATTAAACGATTCGATTTTCTTCATAAATATATTGTATAATATTGGTTACAGTGACATTTTCGTAAGTGGACCAGAATGGTGTGGGTGCTTTTCGAAAGCAGAAAGACCATGTGCTGCGGTTCGCAGGCGTTCTTCTCCTGATGTTGCACCAGCTTGCGATTCTCGAGGATATTATCGCAGTATCCAATGTCATCGTGGACTAGGTTTGTGTTGGTGTGTCGATCCCCATGGTGTGGAATTTGCAGGTACTCGCACTCGTGGTTCTAAACCAGATTGCGGTAAGTGTACGTATTACTTTCAATATTTATTTTATTTTTATATTTTTTTATAAACTACAAATCACTTAATTAATTAAAAAAAAAAAAAAAACTATTATTTACACAGATGCAATCGTCAGCAAGATAAGTAATGATGCTCTGAAGACTAATAGCGTAAACCTCGAAAATGAAATTAATGACTACGACGATGAAGATGATGGCGTAGATTCTGCAAATGATCTCGAGGGTTCAGCGGATCAGCCCCTCGATTTTTAAATTTTTAAGTTTTTTTTTTAATTAGTTATTTGAGCACCTTGATATTAATTTTATTTTTTTTCCTCCAAGAAGTGATAATTAAATAAAACATAACAATCAATTGCTCGAGATCTTCGTAATCATTATGATAATAATTCATAATAATTTTGTCAATAGTAAAGTCTGTTGAAGAAACGTCGAATTTAATTATCGTCAACTTTAATTAATTATAAATGCACCCTGCCGTCCTTCAATAACGTGCAATTACGATAAGGGACGGTTTTAATATTAAAAATCCAGGTTTCTACACATGTTTTTAATTAATTATCAACATGTACACCAAACTGTCGTATTATCTTTACGCATAAAAATCATATTTAATAACGTAATAAGGTAAAAAATTAAAATTTCGCATCAGAAACCACATTCATTAAACATAAAACTATTAAAAATAAAACTACCACTAATTTATATGACTTAATAAGTGTCAATGAAAATATTAAAATAAGAAAATAATTACAGTCGATAATACATTCCTTAAGTTAAAAAGTATGTATTAAGTGATCTTACTTGATATTATTTGTAATCATTAGACTAATAACGCTACAGATAATATTAATACTAAACACGATATCAAAACATCATTCATCTTCAGCCTTAAAATAGTATTAAAAATATTATTATTGTAATTTTTTTTTTTAAATTGCGACCATCTTAGTTATTAAAAAAAAATCTAAAATATCAAATCGCTTAATCAATGTCGCATAAAATGCTCACATTCATGATCTATTTTTTAAAATTTATTTCTGCTGATAAAAGTATTTTATTTATAAATTTATAGTAGTTACACCGTAAATAAGAATAATAATAATAATAACTATAATAATATTACATAATTATATATGGAACTAGTAAAATCACTTCTTGATATTTTCATTTATTAAAATCAGCGGATTAATTAAAATAGTTTATTTTTAAAAAATTTTTGTGTTTAAAATTTGAAAGATTTAATTGGAATAAATTAATATTACATAAATTTTATTGTTAAATGTTTAATTGAATTGATGATATTGGCAAATCAAGTTAATTTTAATTTATAATTAATTAAACTTAACCGAAAATATTAAGAAGAGATGTTAGAATTTAATTTATTCCTGTGTAAGAATATCCATTTTTACTTACAAATTGCATTCAAAGCAAGTATTGTGTTAATATTTTAGATGAATATAGAATAAGAATAAAAAATATATATACCTATATATAAATATCTATATATAGTAGCAAAAAAAATTGGTGTGAACAATGTGAATAGAAAATAATTTTAGAAGCAATGAATATATAAGTACAGCTAATGTCATCGCGTTAAGCTCTTCCGTCCCCATTAAAGTTTCAATTTATTAATTTTAATGCCATTTTTTGTAGTACCTTTAATAATGCATGCAAGTAATTTAGACAATCGAATATTTTATTTAAACGAAAACGCTTGTTAGTTTATCAAATCAAGAATAATTGTTACTTTTAATTCTCATTAAGTTTAATATTAATCATCTTCATAATTATATTTTAATAAGCTTAATTTATATTGTTCATTTTGTGACCCAACTTTTATAAAAGCTGAATCAAATATGATTGTGAATCCCGACTATGCATCTTGCCATATTACTATGCAATAACGAATAATTTAATTGAAGACCTAATAAAAAATAAATTCGATTGCAAAATATTCAGTATTCATAAATACACCATATTGCGGATTGTATATAAAGATATACAATAAATAGGTAATCTTATAAATTATCTAATACATCATATTTCTATTATTATTGATTACTAGTGAATAATGATAACAAAATGTGCTGAATGGAAAATTTTTACTTAATTTTCAAGCTACTGTAGACACCATATATGATTAATATTACAAATATGGCTGTAAGAATCCATTATTTAATAAAGATTGTTGTAGAAGTTTCTTTTTTTAAATATAAAAATACTATATCTATATATTCTTGACCTTTTATTTCCCAAAAGTTCATAAGGTTATTATATTTTATTATGAAATAAAAGCAGCTATTTTCCGGCTATTAACATGATAAAATAATATACGATTCAATGATCACATTAATTTATTTGTTGTTGCATTTTAGATATTTTTTTTTTTTTTTTTTTTTCTTAATTTGTTTAAAGTCGCATAAACTACTACTTTGAGATTGGAACTCGTTTTATTTCTTGGGCTGAGCAGTATAATACACTTAAATATTGAAAATATTCATTGGTGTACGCTGGACTTGAACCCGGTCCAATGCTTTGGTAAGTAAGGGCCGGATCCGATAGGCTACTGCGCGCCCTGTTAGACATTTTATATGAAAAAATTTGGATGAACAACATTTTTATCCAATTTCAGGTTATTGAAACTGACAGATAAATAATTCTCAGATACATTTTATTAGTAGCAGTCAATAATAAATTTCAATTAAACAGTAAATGACAATTCATTTATTATTTGACTATTGATTTCATTTAATAGTATAAATTCTATTTAAAATTGGTACCAAAGATATTAAACGTCCATCGATTATTTGATTTTAATTAAAAAATTTAATTATACACTTATTGTATGAAATTATCGATATTTTTTTTGCAGATTTATTAATTGATACATCTGTTAATTTGAATATCAAAAAATTATATTTTTTCATGATCATTTTTTAGGGTGAAGTAAAAATAAAATATGATAAGTTATATTGAAATTTCAATTTTTATTATGATATCAAATTTTCGTATAATAGACTCACTTACAAAAATATTATTTTTCATGTAATCATTAAAAATGTGCGTGTTTCATAAATTTCTGGAGTCCATAAATAATTAGTATTTCAACACAGCTCTCAAACTAGAAAAAAAGTTTTTTATGATTAAAAATACTTAGAAAATTTTAATACAAGAATTTTTGAAACTTACCATTTTCCAGAATGCAACAACTCAAATCCTTCATTAATTTTCTCAAATGGCATTTCATGAGTAATAAATTCATCGAGCATGAGTTTTTTCTTCATGTATTCATCGACTAGCTTTGGTACACTGTCTTTAGATTTCCATCCTCCAAAAGCAGTACCTTTCCAAACACGTCCTGTCACTAATTGAAATGGCCGAGTACTTATTTCTTGTCCAGAAGCAGCTACACCGACAATCACTGAAGTTCCCCAGCCTTTGTGACACGCTTCTAATGCTTGACGCTGTAAACGAATATTTACATTTTTAATAATTTTATCATTTATCTCATATTACTAATTCAAGTCTATTTTTAATTCTTACCATTGTCTTAACATTTCCGACGCATTCGAAAGTATAATCCAGTCCTCCATCCGTTAATTCAATAAGGACGTCTTGTATCGGGCGATCATGCTTGCTAGGATTGATAAATTCAGTACATCCAAAAATTTTTGCTGCATTAATGTTAAAAATTATGATGATTCAAACTTTTTTAAATAGAAGTAGTTAAAAATTAAAGAAATGAAAGAAAACCTTTCTCAAACTTGGATTCATCAATATCAATGCCAATGACACGAGAAGCGCCAGCAGTTTTACACCCAAAAGCAGTAGCTAACCCGACGGCACCAAGACCCCAAATGGCACAGGTGCTTCCTGACTCAACTTTTGCAGTATTTAAAGCAGCTCCATAACCAGTAGGGACTCCACAGCCTAGCAAACACACTTTTTCCAGTGGCGCAGTAGGATCAACCTATATAAAAATAAAAATAAATGTAAAAATTTATTTTTCTATGAACATTAATTATTTTTACAGTTAATGTATTCAGAAATACTTAAAAAAATAATAATAATAATAATAAAGAAATTCTTTGTCAGAAGAATTTTATCAGAGTATTTATTTTGTCAGGATAAAATAAATTGAGTTTAGAATGATGAAATTTCTCAAATATTTTATCTTCATTAAATGATACTGAAATTAGTAGATATTTGAAAATTTTTATAACAAGTCAATTATTATAAAAAAAAATTCTTTTTTTAATTTGCACTTGTAATTTTTTTTTAATTTCTACATGTGGAATTTTTTTGATTATATTTTAAATGTTATAAAAATCTAAAAAATTTTTAGATGTTTGTTAAATTCAGTATTATCTCAATTAAACTTAATTGTTTATGATACTGCTATTTTATTATAACTAGGGTTTTTAAACTTGTAATAAAATAATTCAAGATATTTACCTTTACCAAAGAAATGTCAGCAACAACAGTGTACTCGGAAAATGTTGAACAACCCATAAAATGAGCTAGAGTTTTACCTTTGCAAGTAAATCTTGAAGTGCCATCAGGCATTAATCCTTTACCTTGTGTCAAACGAATTTTGCTGCATAAATTAGTTTTTGGAGACTTACAGAATTTGCAGTCTCTGCATTGAGGAATGTACAGTGGTACAACATGATCGCCTAGAATTATTTAATATAAATAATTTATATCAAACATAAATAAATAAAACAGTTACAATTATTATTCAAAGTTAACTGAAAATAGATTGATCACCTGCTTTGAATTCAGTGACACCTTCGCCAACACTTTCAACAATACCACTTCCTTCATGGCCAAGGATGCTTGGAAAAATTCCTTCTGGATCCGCTCCAGATAATGTATATGCGTCAGTATGACACAAGGCAACTGCTGTTACTTTAATACGAACTTCGTGAGCTTTTGGTGGTGCGACCTCGATTTCTTCAAGTGATAATGGTTCTTTTTCTTTCCATGCAACTGCAGCACGGCATTTGATAACCTATTAACATTAAACATTCGTTTTATGTCAATAAATTATTAAAAATAAAGACATTCATTGACATTAAATTAAAAATGCAGCATTTGAAAAAATTTTTAATGAATTCTATTTATTTATTCAAGTAATATATAAGTAAAAATAATTTTTACTTACTTTTCCAGCGGTGTCAGCCATAGTTGATAAGTTTTAAAATATAACACTAATTAAATACGTGTAAATTATTATTTAACTTTTTTTTTTTTAAAATATTTAATAAACGACCGAATAAATGATTACAATTGAAAAAAAAATTAAACGTGTAACGTTAATTTATTTCTTTTTCAATCAACAGTCGAATAAAATTTTATTATTTATTCAACGAGAGTTCTTTTGATCACGGTGGTCACACTCAGATTAATTTGAATTAACAAAACTCTGAATCAGAGTATATATTTATATTATAAGATAACATTGCATCAATATTATAATTTTTTTTTTTTTTTAATTTTAAACATTAAAAAAATCAAAAGTATTTCTTGTCAGTTATCTTTTATTATGAATTACAAATCAAATTATTCAATATTATTTAAAAAGTTCTGGAACTTTATTCAAATATTTTTTTTTTTTATACATAATCAGTACAGCGTCTTAAAAAAATATAACAAAACAAACTGTATAAATAATAATTTAATAATTATCTATGAAGTTTTTTCGATTTAAAAAACTTAAAATTGGGCAGCAGTTTAAATAAATGAATACAATGTGCGACGATATATCCAACAAATGCACCGATAACACAAGGTATTGGCCATTCTTGCCAAGGTCTATCCCAATCTAATGGAATTACAATAGCACCACACCAAGTACCCACCAATGTACATTGAATATTCCTGTACATAGCTTGTGCGATAATATTATTACTGGGTACTTGTGCTCCTGTTAAAAGACACAACGCATTATCAACACCTAGTTGTAAACTTGGAGGAACAAAAGTCAATGCTGTTAAAATAAGAGCAAGCATTGAAGTTTCTTCATGGTGAGTCGTTAATGGTGCACCAAATAACACTATTGCAGCATAATAAACGATAAATAAAGTCACAGCAATAATTAAAAACTTGATTGTGTCTTTAAAAAATTTAGACCAAGATTTTTTAGATTTTGAGGGTAATAGTTTAGCATCAATTCTATCGAAGCAGTAACGACTGTTATAAAATGATGAAAACAATAATTTCATTAATTCAGCGAACATTAATATTATTAATATTGGAATGAATTTGTATTTTCCCACGTTGTATAAAGTGTCATTGAACTTCAGCAAAATCAAAATAGACGGAAAATATATACATGTAAATAAACAGTAATACAATAACAGTCTTTGGTTCAACATCTTGATTTCTCTTCAGTCTTGAGTACTTTGTTGATTTGTCAATCTAAAAAAAATAAAATATAGTTTATTGATAATTTTTACAAGCTAAAAAAAAAAACAACAATAAATATTGATATACTTTTTATTATTAATCGTCGTTTAAAAAGCTTTTAAATGAATGAATACTTATGTAAAAATTTAATTATTCGTTACTCTATCATGGTGAGTATCAATACTATTGACGAAAAAAAGTTATATTTAATAATCTATCAACTAATTTTAGTAATAATGATCACTGTCATTTATCTAATTGTTAAAGTACATGCCGGAATCATGTATAGTATTCTTGACATAAGGTCCTTACTCGGGTCATCATCGTAAATCCGAAGATTTTACTACATGAAACGAAGAAAATCGAACCAAGTTCTTATAGTGGCTCCACCATGCTCCACCAATCAGCTGATTTAAAATCTACGAATAGTTAAGAATTGAGGTTATAGCAAATTAAACGTATAGGAACGTACATAAATAAACAACAAACCCATGCAAACGTTTTACATATTGTATTTAGAAAATTGATAGATTCATTTATTTATAGTTTACTTGTGTATTTAAAATTTTTTATTTATTATTTGTTTATTTTTTAGTTAGTGTTCAATTTAACTGAAAGTAGAAAGAAAAAATTAGTGAAAAGTGAATGCTGGAAAATATAATAAATTTTAATTTACAATGTCAAAAAGGGTAAGATATTTATAAAAATTTAATAACTATAGTGAAATTAACAAACTTCTGATAGTATGACATTAAATTTAGCAGTCACTTAACAATTTTTTATTTTTTTTTTTAATAAATAAATTTGCAAAATTTGCTCCGAAAAATTATTTCTAAAAAATTGGATTTTTTATTTTTTTAATTTTCTAAATGTCAATTTTTTTTCTCTCATTTTCTTTGACATAATTTATTTGTTAAAAAAATTCTTAAAATTTTCTTATAATATATGTGCTAAATTAATTTTCATCTGATAATTGTTTATTCTAACAATGAGCAGCAATTTAATCAAAATATGAATATTTACTTTTATATTTTTTGAACTGTTTAAATTAATTATTTTTTTCAATACTCTAAATTTAAAATTGTCAAAAAAAAATTTCAGATGTCTGTTATCGTTAATATTATATTAATTTAAATTATTAAGGTAATAAGACCCAATTATTGACACCGGCTTAGTTGTTTGACACTTGCAATTTTATTCTAATTAAAAAAATAAAATGTTCTCAAAAAACCAATTATATTAAAATTTATAATTCAAAACTTATATTTATTAATTTATCAGAGTTGATTTGTTTTTTTTTTTTTTTTTTTTTTTTTTTCTTACATGTAATATTTTGAAATAAATATTAATAATGTAATTTTTATTACAGAAGTATTCCAGACAAGAGAAGAGCAGTGATTCGGAGTCAGATGATAATTATGTTCCGTATGTTCCAGTGAAGGAACGTAAAAAACAACAGCTTATGAAATTAGGACGACTGGGAATGTTAAAAGAAGAAGGTGCAATAGGAGTTATTGGAAAAAGTAGCAGTGAGAATGAAAAAGACGAAGGAGATGAGGAAGATGATGGTCAGGTCTGGGGTAGAAAGTCAAATATTTCTCTTTTGGATCAACATACAGAGCTGAAAAAATTAGCTGAAGCTAAGAAAGAAAGTGCACTGGAAAAACAGCTGAAGGAAGAAGAAAAAATTCTTGAAAGTGTCGCTGAAAACAAAGCTTTGATGGGTGTTGCTGAGTTGGCCAAAGGAATACAATATGAAGATCCAATAAAAACAAGCTGGCGAGCACCAAAAGCAGTACTTACTTTTGGCGAAGCTCGACATGAAAGGATACGAAAAAAATTACGGATTTTAGTTGAAGGAAATGACGTCCCACCACCACTGCGTAGTTTCAAAGAGATGAAATTTCACCGCGGCATAATCAAAGGCTTAGAACACAAAGGCATTGTGAAACCTACTCCTATTCAAGTACAAGGAATTCCGACAGTTTTATCCGGTCGTGATATGATTGGAATTGCGTTTACTGGTAGCGGTAAAACTTTAGTATTCGTATTGCCTCTAATAATGTTTTGCCTTGAGCAAGAAGTAGGAATGCCGTTTACACGCAACGAAGGTCCCTACGGATTGATAATTTGTCCTTCAAGAGAATTGGCCAAGCAAACGTTCGACATTATTCAGTATTACACCAACAGCTTAAGGTCAGAACATTGTCCAGAAATTCGGAGTTGTCTTGCTATAGGTGGAGTTCCAGTCTCAGAGTCTCTTGAAGTAATAAATAAAGGTGTTCATATTATGGTTGCAACACCAGGGCGATTAATGGACATGTTGGATAAAAAAATGGTTAAATTAAGTTCATGTCGTTATCTTTGTATGGACGAGGCAGATCGAATGATTGATATGGGCTTCGAAGAGGATGTTAGGACGATATTTTCATTTTTTCGTGGTCAGCGCCAGACTCTTCTGTTCTCCGCAACGATGCCCAAAAAGATTCAAAACTTTGCGCGGTCTGCTTTGGTAAAACCGGTGACGATAAATGTTGGTCGTGCTGGTGCAGCATCAATGAACGTAACCCAGGAAGTAGAATATGTAAAGCAAGAGGCGAAAATTGTTTACTTATTAGAATGTCTTCAGAAAACACCGCCGCCTGTATTGATTTTTGCTGAAAAGAAACAAGATGTTGATGCAATTCACGAGTATCTTTTATTGAAAGGCGTCGAGGCCGTAGCTATTCATGGTGGTAAAGACCAAGAAGAACGATCAAGATCTGTTGAAGCATTTAGAGCTAAACACAAGGATGTTCTTGTTGCTACAGATGTTGCTTCAAAGGGTTTAGATTTTGCTGATGTCCAACACGTAATCAATTATGACATGCCAGATGATGTTGAAAATTATGTACATAGAATTGGAAGAACTGGACGTTCTGGTAAAAGAGGAATCGCTACTACGTTTATTAACAAATCTAACGATGAGTCTGTGTTGTTGGATCTTAAACATTTGTTGATGGAAGCGAAACAAAATGTACCGGCATTTCTTTTGGAACTTTGCTCTGAAAATGAGAAGTATCTTAATCTTGGAAATGAAAGAGGATGCAGCTACTGTGGTGGTCTTGGTCACAGAATCACTGAATGTCCTAAGTTGGAAGCTATTCAAAATAAACAAGCATCGAATATTGGTCGACGTGATTACTTAGCTAGTAATGCGGCTGATTATTAAATAATATTAATTTTTTTATACTTTAATGATTTATTAATAATTAACGAATTGAAATATATTCAGACTTAGCTAAATTTTGTGAATAGGCTACGAAAAAATTATGAAAATAAAATAATTTATGATAAAAATTAACTGATGTTTAATTGTACATAATGAAGCAATTAATTTAATTTTGATTTGTTCTTTCTACATTTTAATCTAAACTTGTATTTTCTACATACGATGTATATAGCTGATTGGCGTTTATTTTCTAATAAATAAATAAATAAAAAATTTATTTTTTATTACTGATAATTATTAAAGATATATTGAATTATAACAAAAGATATGACTCATTTTTTTATAACTATAATTAAGGAAATTTTTTTTCCAATAATACTTATCTCTTTACCAAGGTTAATCTTTAATGACATAATTCAGATCAACTTCTTTTTTTATAAAATTGTTTCGACAATGACAATAACATGCATTTCCGTTTCTATAAAATAGAAAAATTTATCAGATATTTAGTTTACTTTGAATTCGTGTAACAGCAAGAACAAAATGTATTTGTGGAAGGCACAACTTTTTATTTTTTTTTTATTCAACTCTTATAGTTATTCTACTGCATGTCCTTCTAAAGGTAATTGTTTATCTATATAAAATAAGTTTAACAGAATTGTAAATTAACAAAATTCTAGATGAATATGCACCAACATTTTTTGGCAAAATTGCTAACTGGTTTAGAAATTTAAAAGACCGAATTGTTGGATTTTTTAATGGCTCTCCACCACCAGCACCACAAGATGATTGCGGAACCATTACTAATTCAAGTAATACAAAATTTTAATGTAAGATTTTATTTTTTATTAATTATTAACTATTATTTATTAAGGTATAGCAAACGGTTCTCCATCACTCAGTGAAAAATTGCCAGAAAATGATGCCGAAAAAAATACATTTGAGACTTCTACTACAACAGAATCCGTCACAAGTTTATCGAGTGAAAAATCTATCGATGAAAATACTGAAGTAAAAAAAACTAGTAGTACTCCTAAAGCTCCTCAATCTGCAGAAGTCATCGAACCATAAAATTAAATATTATTTAAATAATGGTTATTGAAATAAAATGAAGTTTATTGAATAAATTTATACATAATTATTGCTGGTTTCAATTTTTATTGTGAAAACATTTTTATGTCTAGGTGTTGAACAATTGACAATAATAAAATACAGTAATTTTCACGCCAAATCAATTGAAGCCTGCATGGTGGAATTGTGGAATTACTGTAAAAAAAATTAGTTTTGCCAAAATAAATACATTGTTATAATTTTGAAAAATTTAATTAATTTAATAAGTAAAATTTTGAATTCTTAGCAATTGAATCATTATTTTTACTGATTTGTGATATTCGTGCGTTACTAAGTAAATTTAGAATAGATCAGCCGAAATTATATCCACCACCAATAAATTTTAACTACAAAGCATGCGATAAGCAGAATAATTAATGATACATTTAAATGAAAAGCGTGAATCACCATATAAAGATTTACAGTAAAATAAAGAAAATATAAGTACGCAAAGTAAATTCAAATGAATGAAATGAAATGAATGAATAGTAAAAACGTAAATTTATGAAAGCTATAAAATACAGCAACAATAACTGAAGATCCCAATGACATGAATGACATGCTGTGACCATTTTATGAACATCTATAATTAAGAAACCATCTCCTCTCGAAGAGCAGAGTACATTAAACGAATCGAGTTGTTTATTTCCTTGTCTAGAATGTAAACAGAACATATATATTTATAACACATGCACTAATTATTAATTTGAATATCCTACGACATTATATCCAATATCCTTGACATTTGAAATAAATTGTAATTATTGCCATGAAATTAAAAATAAATTTTGTAATAAATAATTTTGAACCTAAAAATAAATTTTGTCCGCCACCAATGAATGAAAGCTTTGAAATAATAAAGCAATTTGATGATAAAGCCAATTAGATAATTTTGTGCTACACATGCATTTATAAATTGCCAAAAATATTATTTATAAATTGAATATAATTTTCAAGTGTTTACAAGAATTTATAAAAACATCTTTACTCTATATAAATCTCATACGACTGAATTTAACTTTTTTTTTTTATAACAGTAATAAGTTAAAGATGTTTTAAGCTTGTAATAACCCTGTCAAAGATAATATTTAAAATATAAAAAATAATTTTTCTGATAATATGTAAATTATCAGAGTTTATATTTTAAGAAATGAATTAATACTATAAAAAAAAAAATTAATGATTATCATAATCTATACCTTCTTAGATGCAGCTCCAACTTTACTCTTGCCAGTTCCTCTGACTTTCTTCATCCTATTCTTACGTTCTTTTCTTTGTTTTCTGGTTTGTTTCTGTTTTTCAAACAGACCATGCCTTTGAAGTCTGTGTTTTGGCTCGAACTTCTTGGCGAAATCAAGGGTTTCATAAATCAAACCAAAACCAGTTGACCTGCCACCACCAAAACTCGTACGAAATCCAAAGACGAAAACAACATCTGGGGTAACTTTGTACATTTTTGCAAGTTTTTCCCTGATGTCAGTTTTGCGTACCGAACTCTGTCCAGGGTGAAGTACATCTACGACCTGCAATAAGAAAATATTAATATGCATTCGTATAATTTTTCGACAATTACACTTTAAATATAATTTAAAAGTAATACCATTTGTTTCCGGCATAATAACCGGTTGGTCATGAACTTTCTCGTTCTGATAGTTGCAGTACCTTCAGCCTGAAATATAAAAAAAAAAAAAAAACAATTAGACTCTGTAAAGTTAGACATAAGATATAATTAAACAACACAAGAACATTTCGAATTTGTTTATTTTGATGAACGGTATGTCAAAAAGATCTATTGCAATTTATAATTATCATTAATGATGACAATTATTATAACCATTATTTACAGTGGTAATCAATGATACTCATAACCTAAAACTCAAGATCACATTTATCAAGATTTTTTAAACAATAATTGTGTGACGTTTTGAGTACGATAAACAAATTCTGTAAATCGGTTGATTATTTCACATTTTAATGCTAGTAATTTCGCGATAAAAACCATGATTCTCATTAATTTAATAGATTTAAAATACACACCATGTTGGTTGAACGCGAGTTTAGTTAAAAAGAATTCTCTTGTCCTCTTCTATTTCCTGGGATGCCAGTAGCGCCATGAAATTTTGTCAAACTTCAACTCAAACCTTAGTTTAGAGTATATAGTTATTATGTATGTATTGTACACTGTTGCAAGATTACCAACTTTTATACGTCAGCTGTTATGCTTCCATCTAGTGGATGTTATTTTTATTTATTTAAAACTTTACTTACTGTAGTTCTTTCGCCCGGGAGTATTAAAATACTCGGTTTCAGTGCGGGAAAGGAATAATTTTAAATAAAAGAATTCTATTTAGACGTAATTTAATTTTGATCAAAATTATTTAGTTGGTTTCAATTTATTATTCGAGTTGACAAAATATTAAAAGCTTCAAAATATAAAATTGAGGTTTACAATGACGTGATCTTAGCAATCTAATCTCTCGATGAGAAGTGTCGTTACATAGTTTTTCCGAAGATCTTCAAACGGGGTCATCTGATATACTTACGTATATACATGTATATTTCTGTCTTCAGATATATGTAATGTTATTTTCTAATTAAACATTAATAAATATAAAAATATACAGAAATATAAATATAAACGTATATTCAGACATGTATACATTCGTCTATTGAAGATATTAAAGTTGTAAATTATTACAATCAATCAATATCTTGTTAATAATAAATAAACTTTAAAAAAAAAAATAATTTACTAATTTTATTCATTATGTGAATAGTTAGGTTATGTTAAATTTATTGCAACGTCACCAATCCACAGACCCGGTAAAGTTTGGCGCCAAGTCCCGTTTTTGATGTATACTAATCTTTTATGTATACTAAGTACATTTGTTAATTCGTCGGCAATGGATGCATTCGGTTCACCTAAGTTGTAACTGTGAGTTAGTACACATGCGTACACTTACAACTTTAATAACTTACTAAATTAAGTACAAAATTAGAAATTTTTGTTGGTCGAACACGCCCATTTACTAATGTCACACCTAAGCGTCACTACTGATCAGGCTGATCAGGGGTGGGCACGTAAAATACTATACGTATAATACTGTTATGCTTTCATCTAGTGGATGTTATTTTTATTTATTTAAAACTTTACTTACTGTAGTTCTTTCGCCCGGGAGTATTAAAATACTCGGTTTCAGTGCGGGAAAGGAATAATTTTAAATAAAAGAATTCTATTTAGACGTAGTTTAATTTTGATCAAAATTATTTAGTTCTTTTTAATTTATTATTCAAGTTGACAAGATATTAAAAGCTTGAAAATATAAAATTGAGGTTTACAATGACGTGATCTTAGCAATCTAATCTCTCGATGAGAAGTGTCGTTACATAGTTTTTCCGAAGATCTTCAAACTCCGTTCTTCTCCCACCATAACTTCCACACATACATCCACTCTAAGGAATAATGTATAATGATCCTTATACACTAACATGTATTTTCTCTATATCTATATATATTTACTTCAGCCTATCGGCCTGAAAGTTGGACTTCACTTATATATACTTTTAGCAATACAGTCATTATGTTTATTCAACTATTCTTATTAATTTAACAAACCCTTTTTAAAATCTATTTATAATAAAATTAACTTATAATTAACTTGAAATTAAGTTACAATAAAATTATAATAAACTATAACATGAAACTATATATATTATATTATTTATAATATGTTGGACTAATGTTTGAGTTTGAATAATTAATAATTTGGATTAAATATTATTTCTATCATTTTACATTCGAGTTTTCTAATAAAATTATAAGTCAGTTTAATTATTATCCTGTATAAAAGAATAGATATTATTATTTAATTATAAATTAAATAATAATTAGATAATGATTTAATAGTAAATTAGTTAACTAATAATTATTAGTTATAAATTAAATATAAGATACTAATTATTAATTATTTTAACTCAATTTTGCTTAACTACAATATTATATAAAGTTAGATTTTAACAGTAAATGTTATTTAACAATATTATTTTTGTTTAGTTACATATGTTTTTTTTTTATTATTCTTTGTTACTTTAGAACAAGGGTCTATTGATTTCACACGTGTCTTTTACGACTTTTCCTCATAGGGTTTTAAGTTTCATCTGGCGAGAGTCCTTGAATTACTCAAGTACTTTTTATGGGTTTTGAAAATTCGGTTACAATGTACCTTTGTACCGAAATATGTTTTTTTTTATTTTATTTTCTTTTGTAAATAAAACAGAGTTAACCAAAAGATGTTTATTTTACAACTGGTAAGAGTAAAAGCATTAAATAAAGGACTGGAATATTTACTTCGAATATAAAATTTAACTAATTTTAATCATTTAATATTTACTAGTTTGAATATCTCGTTTGAATTCGCGCTCTCATAATAGATAGCGCTCTAATAACAGGTAGCGTCACCTGTTGGATGCACTGGGTGCATCACACAGCTAAGTTCACACTGACTAATTTTTTTTTGTGTGGTAGCCCTATAAAAAAATTTGCGTCAATGTTGCGTTCTGTCATAAATAACTTAATTACCGTTAGAAAAATACACAATAACTTATGTTTTTTTCTTTTATAGATAATCATTATTTTCAATGAATTAACTTTGATAAACACACCTATCATAATTGCTTATCAGAGGATAGGTTTTTATAAAAAATTTTTCGAAGGCTAGTCGAGAAAAAATAAACCAATTTTTTTTTTTACTCCTTTAAAAAGAAGCCGTCATTATTAAAATAATGCAATTTTATGGAGGCTTATAGTTGGTGAAAAAAAATAAATTGATAGAACGAATAAAAACTAGCAAAGTCAAGTATAATAGGAGCAGGATTTAATTTCTTGTGCTATTATATTTACATTCATGGCATAAAGCATCAGTACATAGAGTACATACATGATACATCAGCAGCATCAAAGTTTTATGTTGTATGTGATATACGTTTATATGATAAAGTTTATGATTGGTTAAAATGATGGGGGAGAAATAGCGGGAGAATTTGATTGGTAGATTAAGAAGCATAGAGTGGGGTGTCTGTATGCGACTTTTTCGACGAGCGGCCGTCATAAGAACTATGAGCTCAGCATTGCATTGCTGTCGAAAATGGCGTCTGGTTCGGAGCTGCCAGAATATTCGTCCTCGGTAAAGCGTCGGAAAATCGAGGGCCAAGTTTACGGAGTTTCTGTACCTTCAGATCTCGATTTTTCCGAGACTAAACCAACTCGTCAATCACCACGCACTGATTTAGAAGGTATTTATCTTAAAATATGCTTTATTTTTATTAATAAGTATTAATATTTCAAGATGGCGTCATTAACGGTATACGCCCATTACGCGACGCGTCTTTTCCTTTAGGACTCTACTAAAAGAGGGGAAAGCCGCCATGTTGTTCACTTAATGCGTCGTAATTTTAATTCTGTTTCGTAGTCATTTGACAAGTTTCATTATTATTTCAGTTGAAGATTTTTATTTTTTTTTTCTTAAATTCTTGATTTATTACATTATTATTGCAGTTTAATTAATCCAAAGTGAGTTTTATAATCTTAAAATTTTTAACGCGGGAATTAATAGGACGGTAAAAAAAGTCAATGTACGTTTGCATTTGTTCTTGTAGATGTCGCTAAATTTCTAAAGGTAAAATATTCGAAAAAAAAAAAAAAAAATATACGTGTTATGACATTTATTAAAGCGCGAATTCCACTGTCACATGTATGTTGTGACACAATATATGAGTAGTGAAGTAAATAAATTATATGTTTTTAATTCGATGAAAGATAATAAATAAAGATTTGTGCAAAAAAAATTTTCAAGGGTTAGAAATGTTTTGTTACATAATATATAAAATAAAATAAAATAAATTATTTTTTATATCTTTTTCTTAGATAAATTTTTTTACCCTTAATTAAAGTTAGTTTTATTATATTTAGAACCACTTAGTGGAGATAGCGGATTCACTGAATTAAGTGAGGGATCTAAATCAATGTCTACTACTCCAGATCTAATGCACTTAACACCATCTCGAACCGATTCAACAAGTGACGATACTGGATGCCCGTAAGTTAAATTTTAATGTTTTCAGTAAATTGATTGACTTATTATTTTATAACTAAACTAAATAATTAATTTTTTTTTTTTTCTATAATAAATTTTTAGACTCGATACAGCAGATGAAAAGGATGAAGTATCATCAACTGTTTCAAATCTATCAGATTTGTCTGGGTTATCTGACCTCTCTGAGGATTCCGGTCATCTGTGGCGAAACGCATCTTCGTGGGTGCAGAAACAAATGATTACCGGAACTAATCCACGTGAATTACTTCAGCATTTATTGATGGATCCTACACAAATTCCAGAGCAAGTTGACGACATAACATTATGGAAACTTGTATTGAATATCATGTCGGATCCACCCCGAAGACATAAGCTTGAACATATTAATACGCTAGCAGATGTTGTAAGACTTATTAAAAATAGTAAAAAAATAATTGTATTAACCGGTGCTGGTGTAAGCGTAAGCTGTGGAATTCCAGATTTTAGAAGTAGAGATGGAATATATTCAAGACTTGCTCAGGATTTTCCTGATTTACCTGACCCACAAGCAATGTTCGACATTAATTATTTCGGTCAGGATCCGCGACCATTTTTCAAATTTGCGCGTGAAATTTATCCAGGGCAATTCAAACCAAGTCCGTGTCATCGATTTATAAAAATGCTTGATAAAAAGAAAAAATTATTGAGAAATTATTCTCAGAATATTGACACATTGGAGCAAGTTGCAGGAATAGAAAACGTGATTGAATGTCATGGATCTTTCGCTACAGCGTCCTGTACTAAATGCAAATATCAAGTCACAGCAGAAGATATCAGAGCAGACATTTTTGCCCAAAGAATTCCTCTATGTCCTAAGTGTTTTACGAATTCTTTGCCATCGCTGTCAAGCACTAATACCAATGATAACTATTCAAATTTTGTTTCACAAGGAATAATGAAACCAGATATTGTATTTTTTGGTGAAGGTCTACCAGATGCTTTTCATGATGCAATTGCTAATGATAAAGACGAATGTGATCTTTTAATAGTAATCGGTTCATCATTAAAAGTTCGACCAGTTGCATTAATTCCGTCCTCTATTCCGTCGCACGTTCCACAGATACTCATTAATCGAGAGTCTTTGCCTCATTTAAAGTTTGATATTGAACTTCTTGGAGATGGAGATATTATAATAAACCAATTATGTCACTTAATTGGCGATGAGTTTGAGGAAATTTGTTGGAAAAAAGAAATTTTAGAAGAGACACCACATCTACTGCCTCCACGATTTATTACCGATGATTCTTGGGAACGAAGTCAAGATTCAACTATTAATCAAGAACTTTCGCAAGACAGTACAGAAGTTGTTCTTAAGACTTATCACAATGTTTCGACGGAAAGCCAGGACAGTTTAATGATTAACTCAAACACCACCCCCAAGAGACTAGAAAACACAGATATTTGCATATCTCCGTTTCATGCTGGTCATATGGAAGCCGCTGAAGAAAGTTTTGCGTTGCTTGGCGAAAGTCCAAAAAGACCATTAGGTGATTCCAGTATAGAAAGTAGTCCTAAACGAATTAATTTGGATGTAAGGACGTCACCACAATCATCATCCTCTGGATTTACATCGAGATCATTGGATGATTCTGAAGAAATTAGTTACTCAGCATCTCGGTACAATCGAGTAATTTCAGTAGAATCAACTTCTGAAAATAATGGTCATATTTACAATCTTGAAGAATGTCATGTTGTACCGAGAATAATCAACGACTCGCAGAGATACCCAATGAGCTCTTCGGATGACTCAATTGATAATAATCGATTGAATAATTCCAACACCACTGCAGACGTTGATTCTTCAAACGATTCGGAGGAATTACTGGATTCTAATGAATCAAATGGTAAACCCCGACATATTTCAATTGATTCTGCTATTGATTCAGGGCTAGGCGACAGTTGTAATAGCGTCGATAGTTCTGATGAAAAAGGTACCACAGATCAAGAAGACTCCAAACGACACAATTTGCAAAGACATTGTTGGCAGCCTGAAGTTAAAGAAAGTCTTGCCAGCCGACTACCAGAGAATACGTATTATCAGGTTTCTTCAGGAAAATACATCTTCACAGGGGCTGAAATTTATATTGAACCCCCCGATGATTATGAGCAATTATCATCGTCGTCATCAAGATCTCCAACGGTAATTTATTTAATATTTTTTATCTTTTCAATGCAACACAATTATTCATTATTGTGACAATTTTTTTTCTTAATTATGTTATAGATGTCAACCATGATCCGCCCGGAATCGGAATACAGATCCACATAAAACAGATTGAAAGTTTATGAAAAACTTTCGTCAATAATAATCATTTAAAAAAAATAAACGAGGAACTGATGACAATGAAATTAGATAACCGAAAATGACGGAATTGTGCAATTAAATCCTACTAAGAAGCTCGTGAAAAGGTATTGCAAATTAAATTCTACAATTAACATAAAAGACAGAGTTTGGAAGACATTAAATATCGATACTGTAGTTTAAATTAAACATTTGTTGATTAGACTTTTATCTTATTGTTGATAAGGTGTTTTTTTTTTTTTTTTTTTTTTATCATTATTATTACTATTATTATCATTGTTATTATTATTACAAAGATTTAGTTGTCCATGGTAATATCAACAGTAAAAATAATTTTCTTACACACTGTCAACTATCAATACATTATCAATTTCAGAAAAATTTAGACATTTTTAGTATGAGGAACTTTTAAAACTTTTCTTTTGTGTGATGTCTTCCAATGAATAATATGTATACCATTTCATTTAGTTTCTATGTCAAAATAAGTTTTAATATACCTGATGGAATATTCGGGATTTATAGATCAAAGGAAAAGGAAGTAATAATTAATTAAAAATATTGTATCATTGGATATGAGAAGTGAGTAAAAAAAAGTAGCTAATAATACTAATTTGCTCACTATTCATTTATCCATATTCTTGTATATAATAATTTTGTAATAACGTTACGATTAATCATAAGTGTATTTGATACGACATGGATAACTTTTACAAAAATTTTAGTTGAATAAACTGTAAATATTGGCAGATTATTGAAATGTCTGTCGTGGCGTTTGATCGGTTGAAATTATTACTAATCATTTTAATTCATAATAATTATTTTATGTTTTATACTAAATTTCATACTCATTATTAATACTATATATTCAAATGAATAATTTTTTATGATTTGAATATGCATCAGCTATTAAAAATCACTATTTATAAATGAACAAATTTCATGTTTGTGATGATTATTTTGAATAATAAAAATTGAAATTTCATAATTATTTCAAGCGGAAATTTAATTTAGAAAACTAATTTATTATAGAAATTTTAATTATAAATAGAAAAAAAAAAACATTAGATATCTTTATGTTTAAAATAAAAAAATTAAACCAAATCACTAACTGATTCAATCGATCTTTCGCCATTTTTTTCGATCTCAATTTCATTATTATTAATTAAAATAAAAGAATTATAAATTAATATGATTAACAAAAAAGGACTTTATACTTATAAAAATAAATTATTTTTGACTGTTTTATAAACAACAGGTTATTTAAAAAAAAAAGTTAACTGCTAATAATTTGAATTTCATAATAATTTGTACAATCAATTAATGTGCAGGAACATGAATCGAGGCTTGAATATAAAACAAGAATACTTTTAAATAATCCATTGACTTTAATTATATTTAATTGGTTTCATCTATCTCAGTTTTATTGGAGCACAGGAGAATGTACAAAGCAATGCTGGAAAACTTTGCATTGCGTGTTATTTTTATATGATGGGAAGGTATTAGATTTAGTAAAAAATATGTAAAAGAAATGGATGCATCTTCAGTATGTAATGTGCGATGTATTAGATAAAAAAAAAATCGTAAACTATAAATAATTTATAAATAATATAATTATACTTCTTTCGGTAGTATAATTATAGGTTGTGTGAATGTTTATTAAGAATAAACAATCTAATATAATATAATATAATAGTTCGATTTAGATAAAATTTAAACAAAACATACTAAGTACTATGTATTCAAAAGAGAAACTTAGTAACTAAAAAAATGAATAATGATAAGGATACGATATTATTAGGGTTAGTAATAATAAAAGTAAATAGATGAAAAACAAGAAAAAAAATTTAACGTAATAGTCTTATTTGTAGAATGCACAAAGTTATCAAATTTGTTTTAATATCCTATAAAATTATTAGTATAAATAATTAATAATATAAATTGACACGTCGATAATTTATTGAGAAAACAAAAATCAACTTGGTGCAGACGTAAAATTAATTAAATTAATTTTGACTTTTTAAACAGATGAATTTTTTCTTTTTTATACATTTAGATTTTTAGTTATTTTTGCTTTGTACAAAAAGCCCATATTTATATTTGTTATTAAAGATTTATAGAAAACAACACATGTTATAAAATCATAAAATGAGAAAAGAAAAGTTGGTTTATAAAATAAATATTTTTTTAACGATAAAATTTTTTTTAATTCCGTATTGTAAAATAAACCTTCTAATTTAATTATAATCATTTTATTTTTTATTAAATTATTTAAAGAATTTGTCAAAATTAACAAAACAATAAAATATGTATTGTATTGTAGTTCAGAAATATTAATTGTATTATTGAAACCAACTTTTTTTTTAACAAGCATTGGCACTTTCGAATTATCATTAATCATACGTAATTATTTATTTTTATTCTGTAATAAAATATTATAAATTTTGTTTTACTAAGCTTAAAAAAAAAAAAAAAAAAAAAAAAA